CGTCGTTGCTGTTCGGCTCCGTTGCTTTTGCAGGTGTAGAGATTGCAGTGTCGCTTCTTTGCTGTCGCTTCTTTGCTTTTGCTTTCGTTGCTGTTCGGCTCCTTCGTGGCTGTTCGACTTCGCTCCTGCGACGACTTCAACCCGGATCGGAAGTTACAGCATTTTGATCGGAAGCAAGAACGGGAGCTCGCTGGCTGTGAAGGTAACTATCTCCCTTTCGCGGGCTTCTTCGGATAAATCCCGCTCGGATTTACTAAATCCGGCTACCCCTCGGATTTACTAAATACCGGATTTAAGCTATAAATCCGTAAATCCGGGATTTACTGAATCCCGAGATTTAACGCGCGCACAAAAACTGTTTGGCTGGATTTAGCGTAAATCCGACTTAAATCCCGCTGTAAATCAGATACCAAACAGTAAGGGTTGAAGAGCAATGCTAGTTCTTCCTAAATAAGGAGACTCTGTATAGAAAGATTATTTTGTTTTGAAATAAAATTTAGTAGATATATTTTCAAGCAAATAAATAAATATATTTAATCAAGTATAACTATTTTGATTCACGTTAAATAAATATTTTTTTTATATATTTAAATTAGTTATGATCGGAATATTTGATAAAAAAAGAAAAATATGAGCTTGAGTTTTATAAAAAAATAATAATTTGACGGGAAGATAATAATTAGAGATATAAATATTATTATTTTAAAAATAATTAAAAATTAAATGATGTTTAAAGTCGTCTCACTAAAAATATAAATATCTGCAATTATTTTTCACTTATAATTTTTTGCGAGAATTTATTTAGGTTAAATACCTGTACTCCCTCCTTTACTCCGTCGCCTAACTCGCGCCTGGAACCGCCGATCTTCTATTCCAGAAGGCTGAATCAGACGGAGAAGCAGTCTTCGTTGTAACTGGAGAGAATGTCGCCTTAGAAGGTGCCAACATCGGGGAAGAAGGCCGTACGTATTGCTTGAGAAGAAGGCATCCCGCCTTCGCTAGAGGGTCCGGCTGTTTTTGCTGGAGTACTCGCCAACGACGGAGAAAAGGTCTCCAGATAAGCTCTGTGATAGCTTAGCGGAGGAGGTAATTATTTCGACAGGAATATTTTCCTACACGGGCCGCTTTCGTATTGTACACCGACTGCAACATACTATTCTTTGGTGAAGTCTAAATTCCATTTTAGATTTGAATTTATGAAAGTTTTATTTGATTAAAAGAGACAAATGACAGAGCAGGAGAAGACTAGTTAGGGAGGCCTGTGAGCTGGTGTGTTTTGATCATCATTTCTCTTATGTTTATAAAATCTGTTGCCTCGTTGTTTTTTTTTTTCTTTTCAATTGACAAGGGATATAAGGGATATCATTACATTGGGTGAGATTACACAGCTCATCTTGATATATTGATTGGGAGCTTTGGCTACCAACCAAGAGATTTGGGTTCGAAATTTGCCTAAGTGATGTGTGTGAGTTTGCCTTTAATTGGCTCAAAAGTATAAAAAAAAAAAAAGAGATTGACTTCCTTATTAAATGTTGTAATATATATTAAATTGATTATGTTATTACACTTTCATAAGCTAAATAGATTAGTTGGTCGATTAGGCAATGACCATTTCCTTGTAGTTAATGTTTCATGCATTTGATTTTAATCTAATTGGGCCTTTTATATGGCTAGAAATTATGTGGTATGCTGCCCAAACTTTAATTAAACTGATTGATATTGTTTCTAGCTATTTTCTAATCTTGCACATTACTTTCTTAACATGGTAATGGAATCAGAACACTTTTTTGGTGTTTTTCTTTCTTCTTGTAAACTCTATGACTAACAAAGGCCAAGCATCATCACAAAGATCTATCATCAACCACTCCAAAACCAGCAAAATCAACCTTGGTATGGATCCATCAAATACATAACATGTTCATCATTTTTATCGATTTGCATATACTCATCTCCACCAAATTAAACAATGTCAATTATCTGTCTTGGAGTAGAGCCATGATACATGCTATAATGTCCAAGAACAAAATTAGATTCATCAATGGAGCCATTCAAACACTCTCCAAAGTCTAAGGACTTGCTCAATATGCATTGTCGAATGAGTGTGATAGCATGATCTTATCGTGGCTAACTCACTTGGTAGAATTTATCTCGTCAAATGGGCAATTCACGCCAAAACAACACAATATGTTTGGGAAGATTTCAAAAATCAAATTTCATACAAAAATCCACCACCATTTGCCAAGTCCAAAAGTATCTATCTTAACTCACACAAGGTCCCATGATAGTTTCATCATATTTTGCCAAGACCAAAAGCCTTTGGGACAAGTTAGAGACATATTGAATATTTTTCACCTACAATCAAATGAAAGCACATCATGATGAGAAATAATAAGATCGACTGATTTAGTTCCTTGTTGGGCTCAATGACACCTACAATGTTGTTTGCACAAATGTCCTCATGATTACATTCTTACTCATTGTCTCGTTTGAAAACTACTTTTGAAACCCCAAAATTCTTTCTTAACTTAATTACCCTTGAAATCTCCAATTAAGAAATGATGGTGATGGTGCGTGTGTTCAAGATATGCAAGTCGTTGAAAATTTTTAAAACTCAAAGATTGCAATGTAAAGGGATACATTATGAGACATATATTCATGATTTCGGGTGATTATAGAAATAAAAGAATTAAAAGGAGTTCCATTGGGAAATATTGGGCCACATCATTCAAGGAGTCACATTTAGAGATGTTGGAGTCACGTTTGAGTGCCCCATGAATTAATTGATCTAGATTATGGAATATGAATCATTTAGATTTTTTTTAATTGAACGGTTCAAATTTAAGCTTGATAAAGTTTGAAGCATCATTTTAATGGATAATATGCATTTAGAATGAGGACAGAGCCATTTTCTCAAGTTACATAATTTATTTCAATCTAAGGATATCTTGTTGACACCATTTACCTTTCTTTTGAAGAGTAATTCACTATGCTCCTTCATATCCTGGGGCATTGTTTTTGTAATCATGTCATCCACTTGCACTTTTAATGTTCAGGAGAAATTATTAGCTGATATTTAAAATCATTATTACATGCTATTGCAGAATTATAAGTTAAGTTCATCAAGCCTCTTATATGAAGCCTCTATAATATACAATCAAGCAATAGAATCATGCCATTTTATGTGTTATATATTGCAAGTGAACTCATGTATCTTATAAGGTGCTAAGGCTTCTATTCCATTGTGCAGCTCAAAAAGTGAAGGGCAGGTTTTGGTATTGAAATATCTAGAGAATAATACAAGAACTAATTACACCACCAGAGAAGTATATAGTCATATTCAATAGTTAAAAAGAGTTCAGGGGTTTTGGATGAGGAAAACATGTTATTATTATGGAGCATGAAGAACCTGCATCTCATATTTTGGTATAATATTTAATAATTGCAATCATAAAATTATAAGCAACTAATATTCTTGTTTACTTGAGAACATTTTTTAAAAAATACAAGTTATTTGAACATTACTATTTCAAGCTATATGGACTTGGATAAGGAAGGTAGTGAAGGGCAGGCTACTAGTGATTGGGCTAAGTTCGGAAGTTCCTCGGCACCATTGGGCACTAAACAACTTTAATTTGGAGGATGATTAAGCTTATGATAAGAAAAACTCCTACATCATCATCATCCAAAGGTTGTGCTATAAGAAAGAGAGTTTGTGAGACTGCTGATCAATCCCTCTTGGAGTGTCCATCACTATAACTTAAGTGTCACAAGTTGCTCTTGTTATACAAAATTATCCCTCTTGAGCTGCTTAAGAAAGAACATTGTTTAATGAACTCATAATAGGGTTGTCAGCATTTAGATTTTAGTGATTAGGAAAGGGATAAGATAAATGAGAAATTATCTAATAATTACGTTTTAGCATAAACATTTCTATCCAAATTGCATGAAGTAAAGGCTCGGTGGTTGCACAACTAGCTAGGAAACTAGATTAGATACTTAGATTTCATTAGTTTTATGATGCATTGAATATTTTAGATCTCTGAATTTATTTATTTAGTTAACGGAGGCATTATCTTTAGTTCCAATATTTATAAATATTGTTTATTTTCTTCATGATCATGTAGTTTTCTCATTGTTAATCTTTTATCTGTTATTTTTAAGTATTTTGTTGTCACAAACTCTTGCAGAACCTAATAATCTATGGAAGCATAAACAATCCTTATTAATGGCTAATTTTATTATTATGTCTCCCTGTTTCGTATTCACCATCCTCTATTTTACTTGCTTCTTTTTGGCTGTTTTCTCGCATTTTTTGTTTTGTACATGATGTGAAGTTCCTTTTTTGTTTCAAAGCTTGAACTTTGAGCATTAAAATTTATTGCCGTGTTCTCTTGTAACTTGTTTCATTGATTGTAAATTGTATCTTTATGATTTTTTATTGTAATTAAAAGAAGTTGATGCGTTTTAATAAATACATGATAATAGTTGAAAGTTTTGACCTTAATAAATTGGAAGTTGGACTCCACAAAAAATAAAGGTTGGAATCAGTTTTCTTGTTTAAATGAGAGGCCTGTCAATGCAATACGCTGGAAACCACATCAAGCCAAACGACTTGAATTTTAGAATGCAAAATTTTCCTTAAAAATGATACTCTGAATCAAATACATCTTATTTTAGAGATAACATTGCTATCTAAATGACTGCTGTATAAATAGCATTGCTATCTAGATACACTTACCCAAACAGGCCTCTAACAAACTCTTTCATAACTGCATCAGTGATTTGAAAGAGAGGGAGGGCGAGGATGCCACAGGTGAGGATTGTCGCGAAGAACTTTATGGACATGGTGGCAGTGCTACCTGCCATGAAGCTTGACAAGCTCTACGAGAGTACCTTTATCTGTGAGGCTGTGCTCAGGTACATTTGCCATATTTGTTTCTTTACTATGTACAATGTTGGCTTGCCCCAAGATAGACATTGGGCAGTAAATGAAAAATTAAATCAGGTTTTTCTGATTCGATGCCTCTTTTTGGTGGCCAAGGAAAGGATTGGGAATGATTGCATAGATATCTATAATTATTAATCATTCAAGCAACTATTGAGCTTATATTTGCCTAAATAAGTTTTGCAAGGATCTCCACAATTTGAGTTATTTTTTTCCTCTTTGTGTTTCTATCATCTTAATAATTATTCTTTCTTTGCATAATTTGTTTTGTTTCTATTATTATGTTTTGGGTTTAGCTTACTGGATGTCCTCACTTCTTATTGTTCTAATCAAAGACTTTAATTTACGCTATTTGTTATTAGTATTAAGGCTACTGAAAAGGGTTTGATTCTGAACCTCCTCTTCTATGAGCAATGCAGTATTCTTTCGCTAGTAAATATTCAAAATATCAAACTCCAAGCCTGATCTAATTTATCCTTCTTTTGACTAGGTCTTTGCCACCTTTGGCTAAGAAGTATGCTTTGCAAATGCTATTTATTGAATCCCCAGTTACAGCCAAGTCATTTGAAGAGTGGGTTTTGCCAGATGGATTCTCTAAGCATAGAGTGGCAATTGAACGGTTATTGCAGCTGAGAGTTTTTCTTGAAACTAATGATAGGTGTGATTAGTGAACTTTTCCTGAGTTGTTTTCATTGATTTTTTTAATCAGACCCATTAACCTGTCTACCATAATAAATGTACCATGTCATAGTTATTTTGTTATTCTTTTATGAACGGTGATCATATAATTACTGAATATTCCTTTAGGCGTCTAATAGGAATTAGGAATCATTAAATATGCTAAGTGGAAGCTCTAGGGGAACTGTGCTATCAAAGAGGTTGCATGCTTTTAATCTTATTTTTGATCGCTAACAGGAAGAAGGAGACCAGTTACACAATGAATCCTAAGTTCCAGAGTAACATGCGAAAGTACTTGGTACAGGGGTAAGTCTTCTTTTTTTCCCTAATCATCATAAGTTTTTTCGCAACTATTTGAGGTTTGTTTTATAAATCTTTTTTTAGTCCATTTATTTCCATTGAGTGATAAATAAGTTCTTATCTCATTCCGCATGATTTTATTTATTTGCTTTGCTGGCGCATGTTTTTTTTCATGCAGTTCTAAATTTTTTATGAGGTTGTTTGATTGCAGGTGCTTATAATTAAGGGGTATTCTAAATGTAGTGTATTTAAAATTCATTAGATTATTTTTTGTATGTGGTTGAAACTCATAAAAATAAAAATAAAAATTATAGATATAAAAAATATCTTGAGAATTTGACTCTTAACAAGACTCGATGGAGAAAAAATATTCATAGCCGATCCTACATAGTGAGATAAAAGCTTGATGATGATGATGATGACGTTGTTATAATAAAATTAACCTAATGTAGGTCATAGAGAGGGATTGCGGGATGGAGGTAGACGTGATGGTGGGGGTCGCACTACGACGACGGGCGTGTCAATGGTGGCTTCACATTGCAGGTGGATATGCAACGGGAACTTCACTATTGGATAGACAATATATGAAACTTTGCGCTCAGTTTAACTGCTAATCACCATATTCTGCATAATTTTTATTCGTTTAGTCACAACCAACTCATATTCTCACTTGGAAGGTTTGATTGTTAGGTGGATTTAATTCTTAGTGGGAATGTTTGACAATCCTGCATGCCGTCAATTTCTATGAAGAATTTTGCCAAGAAATTTCCTAGAGGTCAAGCTTGGATTGATGAATGGATACAATTAACATTCCATTATAAGTAATGTAATCATATAAAGTATAATAGTTCAGACTTACGCTCATTTTGCTGGTCTTATGATTTTCATAATTGCAATTTAGAAGTTACATTTAGAAAGCTTTTTTAGCAGAGAGATTCAAAGCTCCATCTGAAGGCAACTTGTTTCTCTCATGTGATGGTAACAACTTTCCGTTAAGGAAGTTACTAGAAAACGAAAAATTGAAGTACGACAAGAGTCTCCTATTACATAATTACATAAGAGTACCAAATAAGACTTAGGTAATCACATGAAACCCCACGATTGTTTAAAATTGCACAACCAGATATCCTAGAGCATGGTGCACTCATAACTGACGCCGCTCGCACTCATAGTTGCAACTGAGGGTAAGAGGGAGAGAAAGCAACTCACTATAATGATGATTTTAATGAATGCCTACTAAGTAAGGTGAGTGGGGCATACTTTTGAATTTATAAATTATAATCTTAGTGATTTAGACTACTTGTTTATGTTGAATTGGGTGTGAAAGAGACTTATTGTTATGATCTTACTTTATTTAATTATAATCTTTAATATATTACTTTGATGTTAGTAGGTTACTTTTTATTTCTTTTTTAGTTTAATGGTTTGATTATGAGGCTTATGCCTCGCCTCATAGGCAGAAAATATTTCAATACCCAATTGTGCAATTTCAACTCTTGACCTCATATAATTTGTGCAAAAACAACAACATCAAGCCTTTATCCCATTACATGGGGCTGGCTACATGAATCCTTTCTCTCCATATAATGCATATGAGAATAAAAATGATTAAAATTATAATATTTCTAGAGATTAGGTTTTATAGAACAATTTTAAAAAAAATTGCTTGCAGCTGCTATCCATGGATCATACTGTTCGTTGCCTACACTTGTCTTGGAAGTTTGCAAGATTACTCCTTCATTCTTTGTGAATCATTAATTGTAATAAAGTTCTTACTTCAATTATCTAGATTATGTCTCATTGTATTTCTTCCTGCTTTTGTTTTGTAAAGTATTTTTCTTGTCTTTTGTAAAATCATAGATCATTTCCTTTATTTATACCTACCTTGTACTCTAGAATCCTTGAAGAATTAAATCAATAAATGCTTCCACATAATTTTGAATGATCAGAATATTTCCCTTAGCCCTTTCTTATATTTTTCCACCTATTTTTTGCTGGTCATTCCGACTCGTAGCTGAACTTTATCAAATGATCTCAATCAGAGATGAAGTTTATCTATAGGAAAGGAAAGGAAGATGATGTGAAACCAATTGGAATTGCATTAGAGATTATAAAGAAATTGATTTAAGCTTTGTAATATAAACTAATGTTTCATAAGATTAGATGCTTAGACTTAAGGCCATCAATAATGTAAAGGCAATTCCGCAATTAATTACAAGATAGATTAACAATGTAAAAGCCGCAAAATGCCATTTTAGACCTCGCACATTTTTCAATGCGTCGCGACGAGTTTTAAGTGAAAATTTCAAAGTTGTCGGATTTTGACGAAAATAATTTTATAAAATTCTACGCAAAATTCTAAGAAATTTGATATATAAAACTTATATCTAATTTTGCTCAAATTAGAAATTAAAATTCATAGAAGTCTCTTATTACCCATAATATCCTTAGAGATTATTAAAGCTTGAAATGTTTAAGTGAGGGCATTTTAGTCCTTTAGCCATCTAAGGGAATTAAAGGGGACCGAATTCATACGTTCCTCCATTACATCCGTTCGGCCGAACCGACTGAAACCGAGAGAAGAAGCGGAGGCGGAAGGGAGACGCACGGGCAAGGCTTGGACGATGGCTTTGGTGGAGGATTCCAGCGGCCCGACTTGGGGGAAATCGAAGAGGGAGATTCAAGGAGGCTAAGGTGAGTTTTTAAGAAAGAGATTCTTTCATTTGCCTTAGATTTTTGAAAGAGAAATTTTCTAGAGATTGTCGAAAACCTAGTTTTTCTTAAGAACTTAAGAGGGAAGATCTAGGAAATAATTTTATGCATGAGAATGTGCTTTTCTCCAAGAATTTTTAGGGTTTCTAAAATTAGGGTTTTCCCAAATGTTAATTTTATGAAATCTCTTAACGAAGTTTGTTTCTAAGGGTTGTAAGATTATTCTAATGGTGAAATTTTGAGATTTTTCTCAAATTATTATTTTTCTAATTTTTTAATTTAATTTAAATCCGAAAATTAGTTTTCAAAAATATTAATTTGATGAATAAGAAGTTTAAGCATGTAAAAATAATAATATTAATGAAAATGTGTTTTCCAAATTTAAGGTTTTAAGTTAAAACCGAAAATAGAAATTTAATCTAAATTATTTTGGTTAGGAAATATGATTTTTGGCAAGTGTAATAACAAATAATATAATTTTAATAAATGATTAGGCAAATTAAATTCATATGTTTGTAATTATGAGAGAGAGAGAGTGGGAGAAAGATAGAACTAGAGTAGTTTAGAAAGAGAAGGAGAATTTTGTTTTAAATTATTTTGTAGATTTTTAAATAAGAAATTGATTCTTATAGGTGATATTTGTAGTGACCTCGAAGGAAGGAGAACTAGTGTGAAAATCGAATCCCTCGAATCGATAAGTATGCATGATTCTTTATTATAGTAATGTCTTTTGTTTCTTTCAAATTATATGATTTGATAGATCAATCATGATTCTTTACTCTTATCTAATAGTTGATCATGCAAATTACATATTACATTTTATGACATTATATGATAAAGTTTATGTAATATATGAAATGAGATGATATGAATGTTATATTGAATTCTTGTATGTGCATGTTGAAATAATGGAGCTCACCTCCTCATGGTACTAGCTGGGAACGCTGTAATCGTGCACGTTAAAATGATAAAGGATATAGAAAAAGGAAAATGGTAAAGGAGTACCTTTATGGTACTAGACGGTGACTCTTCTAACAGTTGTAATATATACGAAACGAGAAAGTTAAGTATATTGATATGAATATGAAAATGAAAATGAAAGATATAGTTTTATGATATGATATATTTAATTGCATGTTTTTAGAAAATCATTTTATGTTATGTTCATATGAAATGTGACATCTAATATATTATGCAGTTTACCTTGATTACTGTAGTTTAGAATTGTGTTTTATTTACTGAGCTTTGGCTTAATGTTAATTGTTAACATTTTTCAGGTAAGCTTAAATTAATAAAAAATGAGTAGAAGGGGAAGAAATGTTTACCGTAAAAGAGGAGCTCATGATGAAAGGTAACTTTATGAATATTATTGATTTTATGTTTATGTAATTTCAAATTTGATGTTTTAGAGACTCTTTCAAATGTTAAGATGATAATTTTAGAAATTAGATAGTTTAGTCTACCGTGCGACCTCTGTTCCTGCCTTGCCTACGCGAGCTCACCTGGCCGGGTCGTGATCAAAGTTGTTTGTGGATTCCAGAACTGTTTCTCTTCTTAAGTATAGAGCTAAGAAGAGGCTTTTGAATACCAGGAAGTTTAGTTCTAATTTATTCAAACATCTCCTCTACTATGTTAGGGGGTGTCCTTTTTCGTACATCGGGTTGCCCTTATACCCGGTGTACTGACAGCATCTTGATCACCACTATCATAGGTGATGCTTGTACTTGTGCCCACAGTGGTTCGTTGTACTTACGACACACTCACTGTTGTTATCCACAAGCAGCTTGTGTTCATTTGCAGGGACCCGTTGTATCCACTACAACCTCCTAGAAATGTTCGTAGGAGACCATCGTTTCTTGCATCACATCCACCTTTCACCAATCTCAGGTGGTTGATGATTGCATTTGCTGCAGGGACAGATCTTTGATTGCTGGTCTCCAGTATTGCCATCTCAATCAACAGGCATTGTTGCTTGTGTTGGAGGTTCCAACAGTGCATGCAGGAGGGACACCCGTGCATTCTGCAGCCATTCGTTGATCTTGCGGGTACGATGCACCCGATTTCGTAGAGACTGTTGTAGGAGTCAACTACATTCTTTGTTTATATGCATTGAGGTCTCATAGTGTACTTGCTTGTACCTCGATGTTGGTTATGAGGATGTTGCAATATCCTTCCTACGAGGGCTTGCGGTCTTTTGTTCTTATTGCATCTTGGCCACATTCATTTGCAAGGGTTAATGTAAATGCCACACATCATCCCTCGTTCATGCTAAGCTTGATGTCTTCATTCATTCGTCTCTCAATTGAGATGATCGATACAAGTTAATGCATGCCAAAGCTTGCAACTAATTCATGTACAGGTCCCTTATTCCTTCGAGCTTGAATCTGAAAAGCTCAAGTCAAACTTGCTTAAAATTCAGCTCAAGTTTAAGTTCTAACTTGTTTCATTTAGATTCAGATATTTCATTAGTCATTTGAGCTAACTCTTATGTCATTTTCAAGTTCAATTCTATCAAGTCCACAAGCTCGAGTACAGGTCCCCTGCTGTCCAACTCAAGCATTCACTTGAGTTCAAATTGTTCAAGCCATTAATGTTCGAATCCAGAGTACAAGTTCAAGTTGATTGTTCATAATTTTCTGAAATATTTGCAAGTTCAAGTTATTCTCATTTGATTTGAATTCAGCTCCAATTTGATTTCATTTTATTTGGATTTTGACCTTTAGAAATCATTTGAATTTTGTTGTGATTAAAGTCCTCTATTCGTTTGAGTCCAGGTTCTTGTTCTTTTGAGTTCAAACAGGTTCGGGTTCGAGTTCAAGTTCAGCTTGTTCAAATTCTGTCCAAGTCCCATGTTTCAATGGAAATTTCGGCAGCCTCCCGGCGTCTCCCCCGTTTAGGAGAAAAAACAAGAGGCAACCTTCCCCCTCGACGCTACGTGAGCACTTCAGGTAGGTGTCAAAAATGACACCGTGGTCGCATAATTTATTTAAAATCCCCGCTCGCTACGTGAGCGTTTAAGGGTTTGGAGCACAAGTTAGAAAAAACACAGATTTCCCCCCTCTGCACTACGTGAGCGTTCGGGGGTACTTATATATATATATATATATATATATATTATCCTCCTCGCTGCAAGCGTCGCAACGGTTTTCCTCCCTACAACGCCACTTGAGCGCGTAGGGGGTTTGCCTGCTCGTTGCTAGCATTGAGGAGGGATTCTTAAATCGCCGCGAGCGCCGCGCCGGTTTCCCTCCCTACAATGCTACGTGAGCACGTTGGGGGTTTTAATATTATTATTATTATAAATAATAATATAACTTTAATATCAATATTAACAATAATACTATTATTATTAATAATAATATATATAAATAAAGGGAGAGAGGGGTTACCCTCTCTAGCTATGTAGGTCGGCGGCAGTGTAGGCTCGGGCTACAGACGGGCAAGGGGAGATCGGATGAGAGGGAAGGAGGTCGGAGGATGGAGAGAGCTCGGCTTGGGGAGGATGAGGTAGGCAAAGCTCTTTCTTTCTCTCTCTCTCTCTCTCTCTCTATCTCTCTCGGCTTGACAACTTCACGGGATTCGGCCGAAGAAGCACGTGGACGGGAGATGGAGGGGGATCGATCGGGATCTGGTCGAAGATCGGTCGTGGAGGTGATGGGTAAGAAAGTCGTCGAAGGGGCGAACTCGAACAGCATCGGAGGAGCTGGGGAGGTTCGGTCGTGGCTCTAGAGGCTGGAGCTCGACGGGCTCCAATCGTTTCTTCCGATCCAAATGTTGCAGCTTCCGATCGTGGGAAGGAGAGAGAAGAAGGGCTCGTGGAAGAAGAGCGAGAGAGATCGGGATCGTGAGAGAGCAGAGTGCCGTGAACTTGCGCGGGAGAAAGAGGTCGAAGGCCTTCATTGCTTCGAGCTTTTAACTACTCGAATGAGTCGTGCGAGCGACGTGCGAGACGCGACGCTTGGTCGTGCGAGGAGTGGCGACGACGTGCAAGGTTCGGCACAGAGCAGGTATGCACAATCTCATTTTTCTTTTTTTTTTTTCTTTTTTTGCTTTTGGTTTAATAGGGGAGGTCAACAAGGGTACAATCGTCACAACTAATAAAAGAAACACTAATACAATAATATAAATAAAAAAAATAAAGACTTCTGATCGAGGCTGTCGATCTGCGCTGCTTTCGATGATAGACATTCCGGAATCTCCTGTTGTTGTCCTCATGAGAAGATTATCTTAATAAGTGGCTTGTGCACCAAATGAAAAGGAACCCAATTATGGACATGTAAAGTGAAAAGTACTACTGTTGTGTTATGGTTAATTTCATTACAAATAAAATTGGAGAAATTTAGGTATACTACAAACTACCAAAGAAATTTGAGATGCAACAAAAGAGAGCTAACCCGATGTTGATAATACTTGCCCATATTTGTGATCAAGAGCATTCTATATGACATATGATAAGATGACTCCGGCATGGCATATTTCAGCTCTTGAACTCGTTATTTACAACGTGATATCCTTGATGAAATATAATAGAGGTGCCTCAAAGATAGTACATAATACATGAAGATGAACAAGTGTACAAGTTCCTATTCAATATATATAAAAAATTAGATGATGTTCATCAGATAAACTTAAGCATGAAGCATCTTCCTAACATTCCTAAAGCTTTTACCATGATTTGAAAGAAAAAAAAAAAGGAGAAAGATAATATTAGGGGTGCCCAATAATTATCAGGGCTTTATCAACTTTTTCTTTACAGCCTATAGAACCAAATTCAACTATGAGGTTATAGGAAGAAGACAATATGTACCTTTGTGTGATCATTGCTACAAGTCATGATGAACTCATTCCAACTGGGAGAAGATACATGCAAAACCTCTTGACCACAAATCAAGGAAAGAACTTGCATTCGTGAAGTTCATGAAAATGCTGTCACTTAAGGTTGCAACATCATTTGACCAAAGTTCATTCAACAAAGAGTAAATTGAATTCCTTAAAAAATTGCTATAGCAACAATCCAAGTCTCAACAAACCCTTGGAACCACTGAATTTGTTACGAGTTCAGTTGATGTTTTTGAAAAAGGTAACTCTCAAAATGCTCTCATGGTTACTTCTAGAAAAGCAAGATCTTTGACTGCCAACTCAGGTGCTTCTGATCAAATGATTAGTGATCCTATGATTTTTCATGAGTATAAACCATACTTCGGAAGTCTCATTGTTCAAATTACAAATGGATCTCTTTCTATTATTGCTGTCATTGTATCTATCATATTGTTAATTTTATCTGTCATATTTTTAAATGGCATTATACTTAAAAATTTGTGTTTCATATTCCAAAACTTGGATTGTAACCTTATTTTCTTTAGTAAAATTACAAAGGATCTTAATTTTGTTATTTCTCCTAAGTAAATGTGAATTTCTAGACTTGGATTGGGGGAAGAAGATTGACAAAGCTAAGATGGTTGTTGGTCTCGACCTCCCTGGGAAAGAAGAACCCGAGTGGAAGTCTTGGAAAAAGAATGTGTAGTTTTAGCTTATAGCATGTGTAATGAGAATGCAATTTGTAGTTTTAGACTTTTAGCTTATAGCATGAGTAATTAGAATGCCAATATGTTATGGAAATGTCGCTCTTGTCATCCAAATTTTTTTGAGTCTAAATATATCGTGTCTATCTTTTCAAACAAAATTATGAATCTTATCCATGTGAAAAATCTGTTATCCAAATGCATTCACAATTCTTTTCCCAGCACCTGAACAAATCAATCCATAGTGATGTTGGGACCGTCTTGGGTATCACCAACTCTAGATAGTTCGTTTCATTCATTGATGATTACTTTAGAATCACGTGATTGTTTCTTATGAAAGATAAATATAAAGTTAGCAATATAATTCAAAATCTCAAGAAGATGTGCAAACTCAGTTCCAAGCTAAAAGACAAGTTCTTTGGCTATAGTCTATGAGGTAAAATTGGTCAAATTAAATGAACGTATAAGCTTGAACCCATTTATTTGCCATCTCTCCAATAAATTGTTAAGCTGCAAAGAACAATTTAAATATTACCGCATAACTCAAAAGGGAAATAATAGAAAGAAAGGAGAGATGTTAAAGTTAAAATAGTTCACAAGCCATGCTTTTGGCATATGTTCTTTGTAACTTAGATGTGTGGTCAATTTTTTCCTTGATGATCACAGATCTTAGGTCAGTGAACTGACCACAATTGACCTGTATGCTCCCCTTAAAATCTTTTTTTCTCATTGTCCTCTTACATGATCATTCCACTTATCATTAATCATCGCTTTTATATCTTTAGAATTGTTCTGCAGTGGAACTTTACCTAGAGAGCCAATGTCCTTGGGTGTAACAGTGAGATTACCAACTTTGGAGGACTTGGAAGCCTACGCACACAAGCAATGGGAGGTAATCTCTTCATGCTTATGTTTGTTTAGTTTGATGTGCTATTTATGTCAATGACATCTGGCATTATATACGGTAAAACCAGTGTTTCTTGTTACAACTCATAAATTCAGCTCAAGCACAAAGGTTGACAAATTTCAGTTCGTCTATGATTAGAGTTTTTCAGCGTGGCCTTCTAAGTTCAAGGTTATCAGTTTCTGATATTTCCTTAATCAATTAATACCAATATGTCATAGATTGCCCCCCTTAACTATGTATAGTTTACATATTTACTCATCTTGGTTGATTGCACATTCTTCCTGCAGAGAAAATGAAGCTCCAAGGTTAACTGAGAATGGTTTCCAATTCCTGGTGCGTGTTGTTTGAGCTGTTCTGGTGTATTTTATGTAGTTCTGTAAAATCTCATGTGTTTTCTTGTGCAGCTAATGGATACAAATGCTCAACTTTGGTATATAATAAGAGAATACATTACAACTTCTGAGGTAAGAGCAAACATGCTCTAGCTGTTAATATGAATTCATTAGTTACATATTCTGTAATTTGATGGGAATTAAGTTTTAAGAGATCGTAAGTATGTGTACTAGAGCCACTCTGGCATTATTTATTCACTTATATGTTATGATAGAAGATTTTTCTAATGTTATATCTTTTTTAATATGGCACAGGACCGTGGAATAGAGCCCACTGATCTGATATCGTTTCTACTTGAGCTAAGTTTTCATTCACTGGGAGAGGTATTTAACTCTGCTGGTTAAGACATATATACACACTAGCTGCCTGACATTAAGCATTTTCTTCGAACAAGTGCATTTAGTTTTTCTAGCTACTAGAACGTAGGTTAAGCCAATTTTCTGAAATTATGTAAGATGATAACTTGCTCAAAATGCAATTGTTCTTTCCGAGTCATTGAGTTTTGCTTGTTTAAGGTGAGCTATGCAGTGTATTGTTCTTCCAGAGTAATAGATCTATTCCCCTTCTTTCTCTTGGTTGTTGCAACATCCAGGTCAAGGTCAAGCAATAGTTAAGAAGTTTTCCAATCTAGAGGAGCTCCCTAAGTTCTAGGTATTCAGTTAATGTTCTGAGTTTAAAATTAGGGTACTCAGTAATTAAAGTTATTCTTTATTATTGACCCAAACTGGTCCCAACTCTTATGAGTAATTAAGTGACGTTCATTCTCGCCAAGTTCATATCTTTGCTTGAATGTTGAGCTACCTTAAGAGAAATGCTTTCTACACGCATTCAAGTTAATACATGTTTAACACCATCTTTATTTAAAAAGTTCTGATATTAATCCACCAATTCTCCGTGTACGTCCTTCCTTATATACGACAACTATTTAAGATGTGTTGACTATGTGGTGTGAAAAGTATTGCTCCTAACTCCTTGCCAGGGCTTGCGGATGCGGTGTTTTGGGCTGAACCCATTTTTTGCACAAATAAACCATTATTTTCTTAGGATATTAGAATTTAATTGTGGATACTATTTTTCTAATGAAAACGAAACCATGACATTAGAGAAAATTTACATGCAATTATAATTCTTGTGATGAGGACATCGTCAGCATTTTCGACACGTGTACCATCAGGAGACGCCGGAGATCGACGGCTACGATCATGAGTTTATTTCGAGTCATTTCATGTAGTTGTTTATTTGATTTTGTGTTTTTTCCATTTTTGCCCTTATGGGTGGTTAGTTGCTATTGTAGCCCAAGGGGCATTTTAGTCTTTCGTTTTCTTTGTCATTGTGAGGCCTATTTATATGTCCCTTCTCTTGTAATATTTTTAGTTTTTGATGAATGAAAATTATTTGCCACTTATGATCTCTTTGTGAGTTCACCCTCCTCGATCTCTTAGTGAGTTCGTAGGAGAAGCTAGATCTCTTTGTGAGTTCTAGATCTTCTGGTTCTACCATTTTTTTTCTTTATTTCTTGTGATCGATTCGTCCTCGTGGAGATCCGGTTGAAGCATTTGTCGGAGATTGGAATTCACTCCCTGAATCCCTAAATTTTCCTTCCTCTTCCCTCCCTTGCTCACTGCCGCCGCCCCCCCTTCCTCTGGATTACCCAGCCGCCGTCCTGCAGCAGCAACCCGCCGGCCTGCAGCTCCCATCCGCCGGCCAGCAGCCACCGGCCAGCCCAATCCGCCTGCCAGCAGCCGCCGGCCAGCCCTCCAGCCCGCCAGCTCCCCTTGCCGCCGGCCACCTTGAGCTCTTGCCGCCGGCCTCCCTTTAGCCCCCTTGCAATTTGAATTTCCCTCCCTTAATGACCTTCCTAATTGAGTCCCTTAAATTAGGGAATTAATTAAGAGGAGTTACAATTAGGAGTTACAAATTTTGAAATTCTTTCCCTCTTATTTTAAATTGTGGGAAGTTACTTAAGCCCAATTAAATCTGAAATTAAAATTCAGATTTAATTGAATTTCTTACTTAAACTTGGGCCCCACTCTCATAACTCCTAAATCTCTCCCTCTCCTCCTTATTGGGCCGGCCACTCTTAGTGGGCCTCTTTCTCCTCCCAAATGACATATGAACACCACAAATTCAGCTCAAAGCTTCTCCCCATTGCCGCCCCTCTCTCCCTCCTTGGATTAATTTGAAATTCCAATTAAATCCCTCTCCTAAACCACTAAAATCTGAACTTGATTTCAGATTTCCTGCATTTGCCTCTTAGCCCCCACCATAGCCGTCAAGGAAGAAAGGATAAGACATTAGATGCTCACTGGTCATCCCATGGACTACTCGCCAACGGCTATCGCTCCAACGGACTACGCTTTTGTGCGCCATTTGTCTCCTAGTGGCATCGCTCGGTTGATCTCAATCTTCCTCCATTAAAGTGCCACCAACAGGAGAGTGAGTGAGAGACCCAAGGTGAAAAGTTCTATTTGTTAATTGTGGATTATTGTTTCTCCCCATAGCATTACTCTTTAATTCTATGTTGTCAATTTGATATATTCCTGTTAATCTAGTTATAACCGCATGCCTTACTTAATTTTGAATTGATAATTCTGAAAACCTAACTTGGGTAAGCATTAGTTCTATAACTAGCAAAGCTTCAAAATCTTATATTAAAATCCCCAAGCAGTTCTTGTTTCCATGCATTACGTTTCACATCATCTTGGTATCAGAGCAGGACGGGCGGGGCTCACGCCTGACGTCGCATTATACACGGAGAGGCGGACGGCGAGGACGGCGAGGATGGCGAGGCCGGGTTGACGAACGAACTGAGCGTCGGCGGTGTAGAGCTAGCCTAGGGTTTGGATTTTAGACTGAGCATCGATGGCGGGGCCATGGGAGAGGCGGATCGCTAGGATGGGTTGACTCGCCATTGCGGGAAGCCGAGAAGCAGGATTTTCTATTTTGTTTACAGCGGAGGTTAGGGTCTGGTCGGTTTCAGGTCATTATCGGGTTTTCGGGTCAACTTGTATCCGATACGATTTTTGAAATGGGTCAATTTGCTGAAACCTAACCCGACCTATTTGACAAACGAGTTGATCTTAACCCCGAATTTTAGGGACAGGTTCGGGTCGTGTCAAATATTGCCACCCCTAATAAATTCTTCTATTGCATTATAATTCTTAAATAAAAAATTACAAACTTTGCATTCTATTTTGTATTTTCTGATAATGTTGCATTACAATGTTATATATAACCAAATCAAATTCTTATTTCTTAATATATGACACTAGACAATCATTGATTCAGTCATCATCCATTTTATTGTCTAATTGATGTTTGACAATTTTCATTCCAAAAAAATGCTTGCTTCACTTTAGCAGTGACAACTGATAAAATTAACATCAAGACAATAAGCTTGTATACTAAGGAATACACAACATTTTTCTTAACCTTAATAAGTTATTTTACAAGATCAACAATGCTACCCAAAGATGAGAACTCTTCGTTTGTATGCATGTTAAGTATATATGTGGATAGTTGGTGCTTTAGAGCCATAAGTTCAACCATAGAAAAATCTGTTGAATCTAGCTCTGTAAGCCGAATTAATTTCCCCTTATTGTAAACAAAAAAATGAGTTATTTGGAGTTAGTCATGAAACACGAAGAAACAATTCAGTAATAGTTCAGAGAATCTATTATTTAGCACTTAAAATTACATATCAATAACAATGTAAAAAAATTCTCACGATAATGATGCAAATTTGTAATTTTCTTATTTCCGCGTATTGATTGTTGGCGAGCCTTGAATGTAGAATACATATTAGGGACATCAAATTTAAAAACATTGCAAAAATGTGATACTTTATCCAGTAAATGATCCCATCAATTCTCCCTCATTATATGTAATTATTGTTTAGAGACTTGCACTAATTCATTGCATTCATAATATCTTTATATCAATGTATATACGTTCTTTCCTCTTTAAATAACGTTTCATTTATTTTATCCTAGAAAGAAATTTAAGACCAAGGAATATCATCCGTCAATAAAAAAATCACATCAAAATCAATTCATTATTATATTAACAAATATATGTTATCTGCCAATTAAAAAAAAAATAGATTTGAAGGGAGAAAAGAGTTTCTGTTTTAATCAATTCTAATCACTTAGTTCAAAACACACTAGTGTCGACTTCAATTATGTTCTAATTAATTTTAATCAATGATTAGTACTTATAAATGATGCAATGAAATTAGTGCAAGTCTTCAAACATAATTATATATGATGAGGGTGTATGGATGAGATTCTTTACTGGATAAAGTATCATATTTTTATAGTATTTCTTAAGATGATGTTCCTAATATGAGTTATACATTCAAGACTCACCGACAATCAGCACACATAAATGAGAAGTATAAATTTGCATCATTATCGTGTGAATTTCTTTTACACTTTTATTGATATGCACCTTCAAGAGCTGAGTAATAGATTCTTTGAAGCTACTATTGAGCTATTTCTTTGTGTTTTGTGTCTAACTTTTTGCAATTTATTTTCTGCTTGTGATAAGGGGAAATTAATTCGGCTTATAGATCAATATTCAGTAAATTTTTCTGTAGTTGAACTTGTGGCTCTAGAGTATCAGCTATTTACATATATTCTTCATATCCGTACAAGCAAGGAGTTCTCATCTTTGGGTAGCATTGCTGATATTGTAAAATAATTTATTAAGGTTAAGAAAGATGTTGTGTATCACTTAGTTTACACGCTTATTATCTTGGCATTAACTTTGCAGTTGACACTTTTACAGTGGAGTGAGCTTTTTTTGAAATGAAAATTGTTAAATATATATTACATAGTAAAATGGTGATGACTTGCTCATTGATTTTCTAGTGCCATATATTGAGAAAGAAGTATTTGATTCGATTTCAAATGTAGTAATGCAACATTATAAAAAAATACAAAATAGAATGCAAAGTTCATAGTTTTTTATTTAATAATTATAATGAAATATATTTTTTTTAATTTTGTCTTATATATTTTTTATTTTTGTTTTAAGTTTGCCCCCCTAAGATATAAGTCTGGTTTCGCCCCTATATGGATGATTTCTTTGATTGGGAAACTTTGTTTGATGGGCTTCAAAATAGATATGCTAAATTTAAATTAATTATGCAACCTAAAATACGATTGATAACGATATAAAAACAAAGAGAAAGACTTGGTAAAGAACCTTTATTATTTGGGTAGAAGTGAAAGAAAATATATGAATAAATTTGAAGAGTTATTAATGCGTTATGAAATATTAAGAACTTCTAAAACAAGGATTTCTTGGTTGTCATTAGATTGAGGTTTGATATTAAAATGAAAATGACAAAAATATATCATACCCATTAAAAACTTCTAATACAAGGATTTCTTGGTTGTCATTAGATTGAGGTTTGATATTAAAATGAAAATGACAAAAATATATCATACCCATTGAATATGTTTTTTTAAGTGCCTTACATTTTGAACAAATTTTGAAAATCTTGTTGTTAAAAGATTTAGTACATCATGGAAATCTACCTTCTCATAACAACCCAAAATCAAATTGTTACATCTACTATATCTAATGGTAGTAACCCTGTAATAAATAAATATACCAAGGACAATCTATTGCAAGTACATGTGGTTCTTAAATTTCTACAAAAAGCATATTTTAAGTGTTATTAAACAAGTTATCATGCAAATGAGGATCTAAGAAGATAATTACATATTCATGTAGAAGATGAAGATGCAAAAATCAATAAAGAAGATGATATTTATGACTTTTATCAAGGATTAAGTTATTGTCAAGATGCTTCGTTTGGTCATTCCTTAAATGACATATATTTTCACTGCACCTAAGATATGATTGAAGATGAATTTTTATATTTCAAGTTTATTTTAAACATAGAGATATATTATATAAGCTTATGTTAGATGTTTTTGCTGCATAAATTATGAAATACATAAAATTAAAATTAGAATCACACCCATAACCATATAAATTTGCATTGGGTAAATGATACGACAGGAGGGGGCGGCCTTAGGGGTGTAAACGAGTCGAGTCGAGCTCGAGTCAGGGGGTGTTCGAGCTCGACTCGTGAGCCAAATATCGAGCTCGAACTCGAATCGAGCTCAAAAGTCGAGCTCGAGCTCGACTCGCGATACTGTAACGAGCCATCGAGCTGCTCGTCGAGCCGCTCGTCTAGTTTTCCCGCCCGGCCATTTGTTTTCCCGCCCAGTTTTACCATGGTATTAGACACCTACTGCATTAAAAAAAAAACAGCTATTGCATTGGGAGAAAAAAAAAAGCTGCTGCAGCATTTATTATGCTTCTTATTATATTATTTGGAAGGAAAAAAGCTGCCAACATTTATTACCATTTGTTAGAATAGACATTTGAGAGAATAATTTTTGAAATTTTTTGAATTTTTATATAAAACTTCCGGGCTTGGTGGAAAAAAACTGACATCAAAGTTTTTTTATTTTTAAATTGGCTCAAAATATTATTTTCGAGCCGGCTCAAGCTCGAACTCGAGCTCGTTTACGAAACGAGCTTGAACTCGAGCTCGAGCTCGACTCGTGAGCTCGATAAGCTCGGCTTGCGAGCCTATAAACGAGCCGAGCTCGAGCCGGCTCGGCTCACTTACACCCCTAGGCGGCCTAGCCCACCTAGCCAGGCTGGCCCAGACCAACCCAGCCGGTCTAGGTCAGCCCAACAGACTGGTCCAGCAAGGGCCGAACCAGTCAAGGGGCTAGGCGGAATCTGGAAGGGAGCCAGGGGTTCGATTAATCTTGTGAGGCCCAAGTGAGCTATTATCCATTATATAAGAAGGAGAAATCAAGGGGCAGCTGTTTAGGAAAGTTTCAATTTGTCAAGGGTTAGGGTTATGTTATTGTTGAGTGGAATTTCTAGGATTTTTTTGTGAGTTTTCTAGCACGTCTAGGGCTTGTGGGAGAACTGATCTACCTCTCGAATAGTAGATCACTTGTATCTTTTATTAATTTTTAAAGAGATAATCCAAAAATCAATCATAATCTTTGGTACCTGCAATTTTCTTCTCGTCTACTTGTTGTTTTTACTTCCAAGCCGCATTAGTAAACTCCAAATTTTTTTTTACACAAAGATGGTTCTAATACAACTTCAACATGCACTGATCAAACTTGGTGTTATATTTATCCTACGTATATATCACATATTTTATTGGTTTGCTCGTGACTATAAGATTTTGATGTTTTTCATTTTGGAAAAAAAAAAACTACTACATATGTTTTCAAAAGTAATGTAAGGAGAATAGCTTTAAAGCATATCAAACATAAGTTATATTTAGTTCGTCTAAAAAGAATCTAGTGCACCCAATTAATTGTGAAAATCTTTGAATATTTTGTATTGACATGTGCTTGAAAGATAATTTCTAGGAGTAATGTTTTCTTTGGTTGCTATAGACTGAATATACGAAGATGTTAATAAAGTATAATGTGGTATTAATGATTAATATCTTTATGATCTTCTAATAAATTATCATCATTAAGTAGCATACAAGTTATCCACTTAATTCTTGAATTATATTTCTTTAAAATTCAACATTTTAGGACGAATTCAACATTTTAACAAAATTATCAAACTCAAAAGAAATAATGTAGATGGTTTATTGAAAAAAAAGATTTGTTTTACACCTAAGGAAGATGAAAGTTGCTGTATATGTTTTGGTATTTGAACAACTAATAAAATCATTATAAGTAATCTGTTTTCTGTTCTTAAGTTGAATTTATGCTAAACATGATTACTGGAGTTGTTTGTTTTTAAAAATTGATTTGATGAGTGTTTTTTTTTCAGGTTAGAAAGCAATTTTGTTATTGGTTGAAAGAGGGGTTGGTTTTTTGTTTGATTTTTTTTTTGGACAAAATCTTAATTGCTTCCTTCACTTTTGTGATCTTTAATTTTCTGGCTGTTAATTCTAGTAGAAAGCCAAATCTTGTCACCCACATTGGATTTTAACCTTTTTCAATTCTCATTGAGAGAAGATATAATCATTTTACAATTAATAGCTTGCTCTCCCACCCAAAATTACATATTTGTAATTGATTGCATCTAAATCTGCATGGCTTATTAGATAGTGCACTAGGAACCCTAAATCTTAGAACGTCCTACATCATGAAGCTCTTACCTTAGATAACTTTAAGAGATGAAACAGGAAGAGGTTCACGTTGACTTTGTGTGGATGCTAGGCAGGCTTCTATCTTTGAGGTTTTTCAATGCTTTCATAAATCTATGCATGTTTTTCCTGATAATTTCTTATCTCATTATCATCTTGCTTCTAAATTTTTTTTCAAAGTTCATTCCCGGTTTGCGTGGTCTTGAAATTTGCATTGCTAACTTTTTCAATTTTAGGCTTATAATATGAACAGTCTTACTGATGTGCAATGCAAAGCTATCAAGGACCTTGCAGACTTAGGAGTAGTGAAACTCCAGCAGGTGTGTGAATTATTAATCCCTTCATCCAACTCTTTAAATTTCATAATTTATCTCTGATTATGCCTTGCAGGGAAGGAAGGAAAGTTGGTTTATCCCGACCAAATTGGCTTCCAATCTTTCTATTAGCTTGTCAGATTCATCTTCACGCAGGCAGGTTTGGCTCTTTCTTTTCACTTAACTTTGAAAACATACAAGTAGATGAAACTTCTTAAAATAGGAGTGCAAGTTGAAGTTACTAATAGCGAGGGCATACAAAATGGTTGTATTTGGTCAATGTATTCTCTCTTGACCGTCCCAAATTGTACATGTATATTTGTGGTTCATCATATGATATGACTGCTTGTCATGTTGATACAAGTTTATGTTTGAGTGACACATAATATGTACTTTTTAAAGATTATCTAATTAAGGTTTCATTTGGGACCGCTTTCTTATTGCTTCTTAAAATAATTTTTTAGTAAAAAAAATTTAATTTTTATACTAGAAAGCTGCTTTAAGAAGTAGTAAGAAAGCCATCCCGAACGAAGCCTAATAACTGGTAGCTGAACTGATGCCAAACTTGAAAGTTGCAATGGAAGTCATAAGTTCAGCTTTTCAGCAGGATGATGGAAGTTAAAAGAAGAAACTTTGCTTACTCAGTCTAGAGCAATCCATGTATAGAATTTGCATATAGAAAACACTCAATTTGCAACAAATAATTTCAATCTTTGGGTAATAATTAAATTACATAAGACGGGCCCTTTTTTTATTAAAAAATAAGGTTACAGCCTTACAGGATAAGGCCAAGATTTAAATTCATTTTTAATCCCATCCAAACCAACCAATTTTAAATTTAAAACTATTCTAATCCTATAGAAGATAACATCTAATAATTAAATTTGAACTTTAAAAAGAAATAGAATAACTGTATAGCTTCCATTAAGGGGTGATTGTATTGGCTAGTTTTACTTGTATAGCTCACAGAACACTTCCGTTCCCTGCAATGTTTGCTCCTGCGTCACATTATTAGATGTTTTGTTTGTGGAGTCATAAACAGGTGATGAGTATAAAACTTAGGTTTTGTGTGCCCGTTTTAAAACTGAAAATTTCTGCTGATGATATTTCATTTTGGAAATTTTTCATTGAGAAGTTATCCTTGAAACCCTTTTTATTCCATCCGTGTCTCATTCTCTGGGCCAGCCAACATGATGTGGCTTTATTATTTTTCTGTTAATTTGGTTTGGTAGTTTTTCTGTAATGTGCCTGAACTTTATGTGTTTCACATGTAGTTTTGAGCAAATTTATAGTAGGAGAAAGCACAAGCAGACTTATTTGCATAGTAATATAGACATCATCCCAAGTGCTTGAAAACATATGAAGAGACACCATTTTTCCTAAAAGAAAATAATATTTGTTTGGCATTCTTCTTAAATGAGCTTGCTGGAATAATTGTATTTAAATTACAGTAAATGCGGTTGAAAAAAAAGATGTTCTGTTCTAATCTAAACTTTTCAATTTTCTATTGCGGCAATGCTATCTTAAGCTATCATGCATCTATCAGATACTTAGACTTCGTTTGGGACGGTTTTTTTATTGCTTCTTAAATCAATGTTTTAGTACAAAATTTTTAATTTTTGTACTAAAAAGTTGCTTTAAGAAGCAGTAAGAAAGCCGTCCCAAACAAAGCCTTAATATCTTCATGTATGCATCTTCATCATGTAACTGATTGCACACATTTTTTATATTGTAATTGTAAACTTTTTTTGTCTGTGTGAAATTCTACCTATAGGGATTTGTGGTCGTGGAAACGAACTTCAGGATGTATGCATATTCTACATCCAAATTACACAGCGAGATTCTACGCTTATTTTCAAGGTAAATGAATCTTTTGATAATTCTGTAAGTTAGTTTCATCAAGAAACTTACGATTTTATTTTTAAATCATTGTTTTGCGTGATGATAATATTGATAATAGACTCTCTACGGGCATTTCTTCCTACCAGTAGAATTAAATTCAAGCACTTGTTGTTTTTCTTTTGGATAATGGAGTAGAATTCATTGTGGGAAGAATTTGTACAACTAGAGTAAAATGGTTTACTCATCAATTAGATGGATAAATTCTAGTTTGTTTCTTTAATTCTTTTAACTGGAGTGAAATAAAAACCGTACCAGCAGTGGGACTTGAATGCTGTGGGGGTGCTTACCTGGTTGTCTTGGGGCTCTTTTTTGTTTTTGCCTAAGTTATAAAACATATTTTAAAAAATAATGAATTTAGAAGGTTACACTGTTGTGGTTGGATGTAGTTTGAAATTGGTTTGTGTTATTTAGGTCTAGAAATACCTTAGAACTTCCTCAAAAGTGATGACTTTATTTTCGCACAAAGTGAATGACAAAGAGTTCATCATTTTCTTGAATATATGTGCTATCTACAAACAACCAAATGAACCCTTAGATGATTTCCCATCAATGGAGTTTTCTAGTTCTTTCTTGAATTAAACCCATTTGTTTGTAAAGGTCTATTGTGGATAGGTCCCTCTTGCTAACAATTTGAGGAAACTGAACTTATAGTAACACCAAAAATAAATGGAAGATACTCTTATCTAAGTTTTGTTCAGCATTTTTTTTTTTTCATTTAACTTATCTAATTTGTCCAGCACTAGATTCCTGCACTGAGGATGACAAATTCATTTTAATACCTAAATGAGGCGAATACTTGCTTATTGTTTATAATAATCATTACGCCCCCCTAGCAGGTCATTTTTGCACTTGGACCTGTACATGATTTTCCTGGTTCTAAAGCAAAGAAATTTGAAAATTCATGTTATCAATAGAAAACCTCAAGTCCAAAATTCTTTGGATAACTTACTAGTTACAGTATTGCATATCAGTATGGGAGCATTGTTTGGGCCTGTTTAATGTTAAATTTTATGAAAAGCTCTAGCACATTTGATTGGGGACATGAGGACACCACAACTTTGAAATGTTGGGATACATTTAGTTATTACTATTAGTTGTTGTTAAGAGTAACGAAGTTAATAAGGTTCTCAGTGTTTTCATTTAAAAATTAAAGCAATTGTGATTTGCCTCCATTTTCATGATAATATCATGGCCACTTTATGTTGCAAAAAATAAAACATGCCTAGGGATATCATGTATGCTTTCAAGCATGGAAATCTGGTCTTTCTTCCACCTTTTGCTCTGGGCCAATAACAATATATTTTTCTTCTAATCCTAATGGTTGCTACAAAAGTAAATCAAAAGTGGGAATTCCACACATGGAAACTTATATCCCTTGGATTGCTAGTGTACCTTTGGATTGCCACTAGTTTCCATAGGAAGGAATTTTCATGTTTTATTGTTTCGAGCATTGATTAGGAGATTTTTAAAGGCATTATTGTGCATGGCTAAATGAGTTCATCCAACGAAGATGGCTTGTTTTAGCTATTTTGAAGATTGTTAAGTAGCAAAATTAAGAGAGAATGAGGAGAATTGTTAATGGAAGCTGGATTCCTTTTCTATTTGCTACTTTTTTTACCTTTCATGATTATTCAATAACTGAATTATGTTTTCCTTCTTTTATGATATCGGCTCATTTCATTGATTTTACAGGATTGAATACCAACTTCCAAACCTTATTGTTGCGGCAATAACGAAGGAAAGCCTATATACAGCTTTTGAAAATGGAATCACTGCTGATCAGGCATAAAATATGCTATTTCTGACTCAAATTGGAAAAATTTTCTTCCTGATTTGAAAGCTTGCTCTTGAATTGTGTTCTTTCAGATTATTTCTTTCCTTCAGCAGAATGCTCATCCTCGAATTGTAGAAAGAGTACCAACAGTGCCAGAGAATGTCACTGATCAGGTGAAGGCGGGATTCTAGTATACTTTTTCAGTTTTAAGCTCCTGATATAGACCAAATAAACGCAATCAATATTATGTTTATACTAAACCTCCATCAATTCACCACAGATTAGGTTATGGGAAACAGATCGAAACAGGGTTGAGATGATTCCTTCACATATTTATGAAGATTTTCCATCAAAGGTGACATTTCTAGTATCCAGCTATCACTAGTTCTCATCATTTGTTTGTCCTGCATATTTCTTTTGTTTTTTTCTGCACTTTTCTTAAATCCTTGGGTATCCAGGAGGTATTTGAAGGAGCCGCTGACTTCGCACGGGAGGTTGGTGGTTTGCTATGGGAAGACTCGAACAAAATGCGGTTGATTGTTCGTGGCGAACTGCACCAACAAATGAGAGATTTCCTCCGTCGCTCTAAGTAGAAGACTAATGATTTTTTGTTTCTGGAAGAGCACTTGCAGACTTGCTGGAAATGACTTGCCCTCTGCATCCGTAGAATTTCATTTCATTGATTTCACAGGCATTATAAAGATAAATTATAATGCACCAGGAGTAGCGGTTTACAGTGAATTTGGTGCTTTTTATTGTTCAATGGCCACTGGTTAGTGCTTGTAGCTAAAATGCTTGTAGTAGTTATGAACATGTTTCAACCTTAGTTCACAATTGACTTTAACCAAATGCATTCCATTCATTTTTAGTGTCCATAATATGTAAATAATATTATCAACTGAATTCATTAAAATAATTTCAATGAATGAATCCTATCAAATAATGTTGATCTTAACTGTGGAGATTTTGTTAAAGTTGGAATTAAATACACGAGTTATTGATGACATTTTTTTTTAAAAGGGTTAGTCTAAATTTTATTCAATAAAAAGGAAAATACAACGGCCCAAGCAAAGTTAAAATATAATTACAACAATTGAGAGCAAAAGAAAAGAGCTAATATGAGGTAATGATAAAGCCACAAAACCTCTAAGAAGAAATGAACCAGTGAAAAAAAATTGAATAGCACAAACTAGACGGACTCAAGAATGACAAATCCTACAGCCACCGATGCGCCAAGGATCATCTGTTGGAGGCAACAATACACAAGGTAATCAGCCGCGAACCGCGAAAGAAATAAGTTATATCCCACAAGGAAAACCATCGGTCAGGATTCTACCACCAAGGTTGCTAGCTATCCAAGGCCGAGCTAGGGTTATGCAAAATATCCTCATCATAGTGCAAAAAAAACCATCATATCAGTAAGACAGAAACCCCCAAATCCCAAAGCCAAGCCAGGACAAATACCTCCCACCGAAGACAAACCCAAACCAAACATAAGCATCAAGCTCGCCACCAACAAACACCTCAACAGCCCAAGAACAACCAACAGCAAAAACAAGAAAAACACATAGCTACTTTCTATTGATGAAATCTATTATAGCATGAATGTGTAGCATATGGGTTAGATTACCACGTATTTATGAGCTAACAGCAAACAAACGCTTGATCACAAATGCGATCGGAAGACAAGAAAAAATTTGTGTTGCGCTCAACTGCTCATGATGATCAGATCATACTCATCTACTCTATGCAACTTCAATACAACGTTCTCGATGTGCTCCATAAGCCGACACTTCCTATCATCTGTTAAGATCCTAAATGCCATTATTGCATTAGTGCTTGTATAATGCCATTAGAGGCATGATGTAGGTACAGTACACCTAAAACCTTGTCAGATCATTATATCACCATCCAATAATGATCAACACATTCTTACCATAGTTTTAACCTTTTAGTCTTCATCGTCACCCAAGAAGCTCACTGAAAGGCAAATATTCACTGTAATTGTGTAGTTAGTAGTTTTGGAGATGGCTTAGTTGGAGATATCATCATGTTGCTTCACTTGTTTGTGAGTGCTTGGTCATCCAAAGGAGCCGAATGCCTAGGTTGTTGTCGATCACTATGGTAATAGGATTTTAGTTGTGACCCAATAAGAACCTAATACGATTTCTTGCATGAATGAAAATTTTGGTTAGGAGTGTCACAAGTTGCGACATTATGTTAGCGAGCATAACAATGTTGGCACAAACAAAATATTTTTTTAATATGATATCCAAATCAATTTATAAATCTCACCACCATCCCATCCCCTCATTTGATCAGTTTGGCAGAAGAGGAGAGAGAAAGTTTGTCTATGATCTTTTTTCTTCGTTATGTTAGTTGTGAAAATTGTTCATCTCATAGCAAGTAATATTAACCCTACATCTGTTTTCAATTATTTTCGTCTCTAGATTTTTCTCTCTAATCTGATAAAAATATATTTTCTTGAGTTGTAGCAAACTCTGGCAGTAGAACTTTTAATATGTAGTAGATATTTTCATTCTGAATGTTTTGATATAATAATATTAAGATTTTATCAAATAGTTATACATGTAAGGCATTTTACCTAAAATGAGAAGAATAAAAGCATATATAAAATGACTTTTAGGACTATTACATCTATTCCATCTAGCCTTATAGGACACGCAACTGTTATTATACATCTGGCATAATATGCATAGTTAATACAATGCATTAGATTTGACATGCAAACCGACATGCACATTGATGAGAATATTGAATATATATGCTATGGTTCATAGCACTAATATGATTTGCATCTATTATAATTAACACCTGCAAGATATGACATATGTGTGTAGTGTAAAAAAGGTTGGCTAGAGATTTGATTCATTTAGGTTGGGCAAAGAAATGTTATCTTGCATAATAGGATGAGCTACTAGATTTTCCTCTAAATAAATGTTTATGGTGTAATCTTAATCAATATGAAGGGAGACATAAATATATTAACTGTTATGATATGATTGATGGAAAATGACGACTCTTACGTGAAGCCACCTAACATATGACTCATGAGACTAATAATTAATATGATTGATCCATGTTTAATCTGACTAACCTATAGGTTACATAAGATGACTGATACTAGAAAAACACCACGAAAATCAAATGTCCTAACTTGTGTGGTACTACTAATATGTGTGTACATGATATGATTTCATATGATTAGATAGAACATAACATGACATGATGATTGTACATTGTATATGATATGATTGATACATGAACATGATATATGATGTACAAGAGCTAATATGATATGATGTGCATAGAAATAAATAATTGATATATAATACTATATTATAGACATACTTATATACATGGCATAGTATGGAGACAACATTTATGATATAACATGACATATTGATAACTTATATAAAACAATAATTATACATTGACTTTTATAAAAACATAGATATGGTCCATTGATAATATATATGATAATTTTATTGTTCTGGTAAACGATATGTATTGATTTGATTATTAATGTATTGCATATGGTACAACCACATGAGTAGCTTATAGAATTCATTGATATAATAGTCATGGTTGCATTGATACATATGATAGCATTTCACATAATACACTTGAATACGATTGAGACATGGATTAATGATCCATCATACGATTATTGTTCATATTGATTGATACTGTTCATACTGATTGCTATAGTTCATACTTATTGTCCGCATAATTGCATGCATGTTGTTTTTGCTTTCTTGCATTGAATGTAGTAATAGGTTCTATATGATTTGTTGGGTTTTTTGCTCATTATATGGTTTACATGTTTCAGGGAAGGGTGAAACCCCAGTGGCGTGAGGATTGATCTATTTTGGCATATGCATTTGTATTTTATGTCAGTTATTGTTTTATAATCATGGATGTCAACTAGAATGGACTGATTTGCATATGATCCATGATTATTGCATATAATTTTTGGAATATGTGATATGCATATGATGATGCATATAAATGATATTTTCGCTAAATCATTTTATATATGGATAATTAATGACTCCGGGTGAATAATTAGAAGATAAAAAAGATAACTCTTTCCAAACTTTAGGATGTATACTCACCAATCATATTCATTGTGCGAACTCCAAAATTTAATAATAATAAAATAAAATAAAAACAACGTGCATTAATTAAAACTGTTCTAGATTTACACGCTTCATAGGTGATTTAGTATAGTGAAAAGAAGAGAAGACGACATGTACATATGAGTTGCCATATGTGAATAGCCCAGGAACCACAATGGCAATCATGAATTTCCTCCAAATGAATGTCTCTAACTTTCAATTGTTTCCTTCAGCTCTGTAGTAGTTGTTATTGATCAAATAACAAAGACATTAGCCAAGATAACCATAAACATCTGATCACTCCACCGAGCACTTCTCTAATGAAGGAGAGGTATAAATGATGTTCATCAACCCATGAAACCACCACCTTATACATTATAAAGAGGTGATGGGTAACTAACCTATAAAAACTAAATATGTGATAATAGGTATATGCTGAAGTTATGCTGAAGTTACGTAGAGAGAGGTAGATACTTGCTGAAGTTAGGTGAAGAGAGGTGGGGAACAAATTTGGGGATTTAGATAGAGAGTGGTAAATAACATACTTGTGGATGTTAGAGAGGATGTTAGAGAAATTATTTATCTCCACATCTCAATGGAGTTTGCATGAGCTAAAACTTCATTTCATGAAATTTTTCATCCTCCTGCATAAAACCTAATATCACATCCAAATATATATATATATATAGTGGTCCATTATTTACTGCCCTGGTGAATTTTGTATGATTTTCCATTATTATACATTAGGTGTTTTTTTTTTCCTATTTTGGATATACATGATATATGCATCTGTAAATTAGAAAAAAATTGTTATATTGGTAAAATTTTGTGTTCTAGTTGGACATGGTATGAAAAATGAACCTCATTGGTAATATTCATCAGTAAAAGGCTATAATAAGGTGAGTAAATCCACTTGAACCGCAAAACCCACCAATATAATAACTAAGCCTCCCATATGCGCACCAAATGTAAAATTAACATAGATGACTCAAAGAAGCATGAGAATATGGCATCTAACATCACCTAACCTAAGTCTCATGGCCATTTGTATGCTCTGTTTCAATACTAAAAAACTTCATTCAATTATCTACGGCATGATCAAAACTTTAGGATGTTTAAACTCAGCAATCAGATTGATTATACAAACTTAAAAAAATATAAAAATAAAAGCATCGTGCATTAATTAAAACTGTTCCAGATTTACACGCTTACTAGCTGATTTAATACAGTGAGAGAAGGGAAGACCTGTACATACGAGCAGCCTGCAGCCCACTTAAAGAGCTCAGGAGACCACCTCTATACGGGCGGAATATTGTCAAACGAGAAGTCCTTATACCCTTTGTAAGCGTAGTACGCAATCCGCGTGTAATAGAACCCCGGAAGGAAAAGCACCGATCCCAGCCCCGCAAAGAAGATCCCTACTCCATCCAAAAATAAGAAGAAAAAAAAAGGCTCAGAAAAATAGATATCAATAAAACACGAACAGATCAAAGAACCAAGCCCTAGATTAAGGAACAATGAAGGAACAGAAGGAGAGTAGGTTCACCATGGACCCTGTCTCCGCCGATCTGGTGCGTAGCCATGATGAGGCCGGCGATGATGGAGAGGGATCCGAAGACGAGGAGGGCGACGGCGAAGACGATCTCCTTAATGGGCGGCCGGCTAGATACAGAATACGAAGTCTCGATCATTACGTCTTCGTCGGAAATGGAGAACGCGTGGTCTACGTACGCCATCGGAGAAACCAGGAAATCTGAGAGGGAGCCAAAATCAAGGAGAGAGGAAGGAGGGAAAGTTTGCTTGCTCCGAAGGCTTTGGTTTTACCGCGGAATTCAATTAGTTGGAAATTTATTTATTATTAGAGACCAGTTCTGAGACGGGGAAGGAATTATGCGGACATTTGGCATGCGGGATTAAAAAAATAATAATAAATTAATTTTAAAAATTTTGACTTCATATAATTCAGAATATTCAAAATTAGTAAAATATATCCGCTATTTTTTTATAAAAATATATAAATAAATTAATTTCAAACTAAATTAACTCTACTATTATAGAAATATAATTTGAAATCCTTGCTCAATAATTACATGAAATTTTTAATTAATAATTAGTATTTTGAATATGATTATTAAAATAATAAATCTAATTGTTAAATAAATTTATTTAAAAAAAAGTAATTACTGAAATCTGGTGGTATTATAAAATAATTAATCTCCTCATTTTTAAACTCGGCAGTTGATTTGATGAGTTAAGTTATAGATTTTTATATTAATATTATTCAATCCGCTTTCTATTTTAAATATTTATTTCAATGAATAATTAATCATTTAATAAAAATCATCTTATTTATTTAGAAATAAATTATGTAATTTCTGTTTTTATTGGGTTATTTTTAAAAAATAGCATAATGAATTGTGTTTGGGTGACAATCCTTAATTTGTATTGATAGAATTATTTATATTAGACTTATTCAAATTATGTGTATGATTGTTACAAAATCAAATGTTATAAATAAAGATAAGCAATTTTTGACTATGTAAATTTAATTTACAAGTCACAATTTAATATTAAGATAATGATATAACATAATTTAATATTATAATTCCTCTAATGCAAATAACACATAACCTTAATTAATGGTGCATTTAAAATTTAATTATTTATAAACTTAAATGCGACTATTTTCATTTACAAATGATCAATCAAATCATAAAGAGTTTGCAAAATTCTAAATCTATTTTTCATTTTAAATAAATTTTCAATCAATTTATATTATATTTTTCATATACAAAATAGTTAAATTTTAGGTGATGTGTGTGAAATTTCCCCAAAAAATTATTACAACATGTTTTTGATCATATTGTCTTCTCAATGTACAAAAGTAAGTGTGCTCGAATGTGGGCATGGCGAGAGAAATTTTCAATATTTACCATCACCTTGGCACTCTGTGCACTTAATATTATTTTTCAATAGCTCATTGAAATCCACATATGAATGCGGGGGAGTTAAGTTTTTTAATCATAATACAAAAAGTAAAGTGCGTCGGATTACAGTTGGGGCAAGAGAAATTTTAAACTGATATGATCATGCCGACCCTCTGTACGCTCAATGTTATTTTTCAATAGCTAATACGAATTAACACATGAAATACAATAATAGAAATTACTTGGGCCTAGTTAGATAAGATGAGCAAAGAGTTGATTCAATAATAGGAAAAAAAAGAGGGGGGGGGGGGGTTGAGGGTTTGAAGATGATGAAATAAATAATAAGAAAATATTAAAGTTTTATTATTTTGATATTGATAATGAAACACCATTCAAAATATATTTTTTTGCCCTATAATAATATGATATTTTAATATGATTCTTGTTATATTATGAACACCTAAAACATATTGCATAATTAAAATTTGTGAGATTTTTAGTCATTACATAATCATATTGTCTTGAGGACACCAAGTGCCTTTAATAGTATTGATTTGAACTTTCAAATAAGTGAATTGCTTTTCATAAGTCTATGCACTTCAATCTACAAGTTTTTTATCATATTGAATCATAAGAGCACTGGCCCTCCTTACAATGTTCTAATAAGAAATATTCAAAGTAAGATCATTGGATGAGAACACAAAATATTCAAACCTGGAGGAAGAATGAGAAGAGATATATGTGCTATGCCAACATACCTTCTGCAACTGCTTCAGACAATCAAGCAAGTAATAGACAAACTTCGAAGGATTTTCAACAAGTTTCTATGGGGGTTAATGCAGTACATATGAAAAACTCATCGGTTTAGTTAGAAAGAGCAGTGTTATCTATCCTATTGTAGAGGAAGAACTTCGTTTTAGAAGACTTGAGAGATCTTATCAAATCATTTTCCTTAGAATTGTGCTTAAAATTTAAATCCCAAGAGAGTTTATACTCCCCAGTTCTTCAATTTTTTTGGAGGTCAAGATTGTAGAGTCAACATTTTGAAAAAGATTGATTTCAAATAAGATGGTGACAAAAAAATGAATTTTAAAGCATAAATTTGATGTAAGAGGGATTAGATCATAATATATTGACAATAACATTCAAGATCTTTATCAACTAAACTAGTTGACACCCATAATAACGTGAAAGTTCTCTGAAGTGTTCTAAAAAACTACCAACATTTTGATCCAAATTCTGATGCAGGATGGTAATTTTGCAAAGTTCAGTTTATATTAAGGCATCGTTTGCGACGACTTTTTATTGCTTCTTAACACAGTTTTTTAAGTATAAAATTTAAAATTTTTATACTAAAAAGCTACTTTAAGAAGCAGTAGAAAGCCGTCCCAAATGAAACATAAGTTCTATATTTCAGTAGGCCATTGGAGAATATTAGAGTTAGAGCCGGTAGCACTTTAACTAAAGTCTTGTAGCATGAGAGCATTCCTATTATATAGTCATTCTGGGGATTATTGAAGGATGCTGTACTTATGTCCATAAATCTCTTAAGGTTTGTTTTATTTGGCTGCCAAATGTCTATTGTGAAAACTTATTCATTAATAGCCAATCTTCTACAAAGATTAACAATCAATTTTCTATAATATTTTAGTTAAAGTACTTGAACTTGAATTCTACATTTTCTTTTCTTTCCATAGATCATTTTTCAGAATCATAAGCTCTGAAAGTGTAAATTTTTCCTCTTTTTTTTCTTTCTATCTATGAACTCAAAAATACATATTCATTTCTTCATTGTAAGGCTTATATTTGGGATCTTATAAATGATTGTCTATAATCTAAATTTGATCTTTATCAACCTCTTTCTGTTCTCTGCAAGAAATATATCATCATTAGATTTTATGATCCTTCTTAAGCATAAGCCAGTCATGCACAAAGCCTGAGATCCAACAGATAACAAATCTCCAGATTCTTAAGGACGCCATATAGATCATAAAAACTCCCTAGTTCAAGTTTTAAGAATGTAAAAAACATATACTTTGTGGTCATTGGCATATTTTCATGCTGAATTAACTAAATATTTTGTTTATATAATGAAATAGTGATGCAGTAAACCATAGCAGAAAGGAGTTTTCTGTAAGTTACATAAACACATTATCAAACAAGAGAGTTTGCTACTACCATATGAATGTCTTATCCTTAGACCACCACACATAAACACACACACATTGAAGGACTGAAACTGCGCTAAAATAACTTTAAAGACCGAAGAATTTGGTCTTTTTTACTTCTTCGATTTTGTTTGGGACTACTTTTTTACTGTTTCTTAAAGCAGCTTTCTAGAACAAAAATTTTAATTTTTGTACTAAAAATCTGTTTTAAAAAGTAATAAAAAAGCTGTTCAAACAAAATCTTAGTCACCTGAAAACAGATGCTCAACCCTCTTTGCAGCTTCTTTTTATCATTTGCTTCTTGCACTTGATTGCAAAGAGGAGAAAAGCTATGGTGGAAAGAATATATCATGTGTGGTAAATATCTAAAAGTTTATGGACTAATTATTTTTATTTATGTATGGAATTGAGAAGATCAATGTATAAGTTTGAGCCTGATTATCCTTAAAATTAACCAGAGGTTTTTTATTTTAATATTTCCCATCATGATTGAACAAGAACGTATATGAGTCTCGTGAGATTAATGTGATAAAATGACAATAAGAAATAGTGAGGATGGTGTGATGTGGAGGGAGTAAAGGAGGTTGAGGTCGACAGGAGGGATCTCAGAGGTGATCATCTACGACGGTAGCCGCTCTGGGGGTTTCGTCTATGACGAGCAATGAGATAACTTGAGGAACGAAGGCACGAGATTTAGAAATAGATTAATTTGATCCATACGAGGTATTTCTAAAAGCTCAAAGTTTTCCTTTATATGTTTTTATTATTTTAAATCAAATACCCAAAAAATTAAAATACAAATGGCTCCTAATACTTAATAGTGCATTTTGCCTATCCGTACAAGCACACTGTCCTTGTCCATTACTTCAAAATGTTTATATAGGCCCATTGACAAGGTCTAACCTACTCACAACAAATGTGCTAAAGGCCCAACACTCAGCCCACCATTATGTTTCTCAACAATATTAAATTAATAATAGCTTTTATTAGGCTGTAATGCTATTTAATTAAAATATAAAATATTTAAGAGTAATATTATTTCCCTTAAAAAAAGTCAATATATTTTTACATATTGAATTTTTTTTAGGTAATACATACTTTCTCATTGCTTCTTAAAACATTTTTTTAGTACAGAAATTTTGCTGCTTTAAGAAACAGTAAGTCATCCTAAAAGGTACTAAAAAGCTGCTTTAAGAAGTAGTAAGATAGACGTCACAAAGGAAATATTAATATTATTGAGTATATCTATATAATAATGATATATAATTTTTGAAATTTTAACTTAGGCATCTATATATGCCTTTAAACCTTTTTTATGCTTGAAGGCTCGCCAATTCTCAGGAGGGAAGAAGCTGGAAAGACAATAGGAAGAGGTAAAAAAAGGACTGAACAACCCAAACTAATTGGCATCCTATGCTTCCAATGCAAGCCAAATGCAAGGAGACAAGTTCACAAGGGCCACATGAGTAATGAGCCTAGCTGGACAAATCAGTGGGGCCCAACTCAACAATTACACTTTGCACAGTCTCTTTCTAACTAACTCATCTCATGCTCTTCCTGGTTGGTTAGCTAAGCCAACTTTTCCTGTGACTACTGATTCTCGTTATTTTAGCTGGTGAATTCGGCCGAATCAAATAAAGGTGAGCATAAAGCATACACATTTCACGCATCTCAAAGCAAATTCAAGAGTTTTAAGAGTTATCACACATGAGGTGGGCCCACCCTACCCCACCTAGACTTCTCTTCTCAGCTTGATAAGTACTTCTCTTACCTTTAACCATAGAAGAAGCATCTTCTTATCTTCAATCTCAAGCTCTCATGCATGTCCATTTCAAGTGTTCAATCAATTAGTTCAATTGTAATTAATCAGCAAAAATATGATCATGAGCTCCAACTTTAATTAGTCCTTAATTAGACACAAAACAAAGCATTAAAAAAAAAAGTTACAAAAGTTGAAGCTATACATGTATATGAACACAATTGCAGTAGAAGCTCAACCTACTCTTACTTTCTTGTTTGGAACAGAAAGAAAAACAGAAGCTAAGTCCTTAGGCACTGAGAAGAACCCTTGCGGCGGCGGCCCGGCCGCCATAAACTTCCTCTTTGTTGGCCGTCGTTTCCTCGGCGCTGGAGGGCAAACCAATGCCGGCTTCAACCTACTTTCGTCAGTCTTTGGCGTAACAGCGCCATCTTCCTCAACCGCCGCCTCCGCCATCGCCACCGCCTTCTTATTCGTCTCCCCCTTACTGGTTCCGATAGGAGCAAGTTCAGGCAATTCGTCGACAAAGACGAATAACTTGAACTCCATCAAAGAAGAAGAAGAATAAGAAGAGAGGTGAAAAGAAGGAAATTTTGGAGCCTATAATTTGAATTCAAATATAAGACTCTCAAAGCATATAGAATAATTAATGGAATATAAAAAAATTTTGGCTAAGAAGGAAGACAAGGAGGAAGGAGAATTATAGTTGGAGGGAATTGCCAGTAAGAAGGTATCTATTTATACAATATTTATAGCAAAGGGGGATAAAAAGAAGTAAATATGCGAAGGTTAATTTAATTAATTTTTCCTGCAAGAGGATTAGTAATTAATTAAGGAAAGGTAAAAGCTTAATTAATCCAAGGGATTAATTAGGAAATTAGGTTTGATAATTCATGTGGCCTGGCCCCACCTGGGTTGGCTTATGCTTGGCTGGTGGGATGCACTGTGATGCAGTAGGTCAGCTGTCATACTCACATATATATCCCTCATTGCTTAATCTCAGCCGTCCATTTCTAATCTAATGATGCTCAGTAAAAGATAATACCTTTTTAGACATTTTAATTTGGTAAAAGTTGTAAAAGAAGAAGAAAATTATTATATGAAAATATTTTTCTGTAATGAATTTTAAAGCTGCTGTTGGGTTTATATAATATATAATATAATTTTTAATTATTATTTATTTACTTTTATATTAATTATTTATTATATGAAAATATTCATTTGTTTGTCTAATATAATAAGAAATCAAGTTAATTATGTGGCTTTAAAATTGCCCTTTGTAGTTGAAAGAAATTACGAAAATGCCAAAGCAAAAGCTGGGGGTATCACATGACACATGGGGTTTGTTGGGTAGAGAGGGAGATCAATCACCTTCTCTTTTAAGAATGGTTAATCATCATTAGCCTTTTTCTTTAAACTAATTATATATTAAAGCTTAATCAAAGATTAGCTTAAAGACTAATCAATTGTTTTGGATCTAATCTTCTTTACTATATTTACTAAGTGATCAACCCAAGAATTAGGTTAACAAATTCCTTATAGTATGAGAACCAATTGACCAATTAGACAAACAAATGGCAAATCAAATAGAGCAAAGAAAGATTTTGAGAAAGATCTTATCTTGGCTAAAAAAAACATAGGATTATGTTATAGATTTTACATATCTACTCTCCACCATTAAACTCTTATTTATAGGTGTAAGCTAAAACTAGAAGAAGTAAATAGATTATCCAAAAAAAAATACATAAAAGCTTCACCATAGCTACGATGATTCTGATTGTCAATTGGAGTAAGAACTACAGATGAATATCAGAATGAGGTTGATCAGTATCTTATCTGAGTTTTTTAACAATGACCCATAGTCAACTTAGTAACTAATATGGATGAGCAATGAATTTTCGAGAGACGGGTAAGGACTAACTCGTACGTGTTCATAACTAGCAATTGGTTGAATCAGATTCAAACCTTCATGATGTTTTGTGGAGATGTTATTTTTTCTGAATAAATTTTAAATATTACAGATAAAAGAATGGTATATATCACAGAGCCTCCAAACCCTGGAAACTTGATCAGAGATTAGGTGTATTTCTTTTTCTTTATCTAAAGTTGTACCAAACAACCAACTGCATTAATCAGTATGGTGAACTAGCTAGTCAATCATGATCACACTTAAATGCGATAATTACTAAAACTAATATTTATTTTTTATTCACAATATAAATGAATTTTGGAGAGAACAATGTAAATTAATTAAAAGTAAAGTGATTTACCAATTGCTTTTGGTTCATAAAGCTTTAGTGTAGATGAAGCAAAGAAGAGACTTTAATATTTAATCTAATAGAAAGGTTGTTTACTAATTAAAAAATCTAAGTAATAGTACACAGACCCAATAACTATAATATTTGTTATAGTTGTCATAAATTTTCTCGCAATCATTCGAAAAAAAATAGTACAAATTAGTTATATAACAAATTATAATATTTGTGGATCATAAACCTTAAATATTTATAATATTTGTGGATCATAATATCAAGTCTAAGAAAAAAAATATTTTTATAATGAAATCATTAAATGCTATGTTTATTTAATCTATCAAAAAACATGATAGTGTTTTGCATCATAAGCAAAGTAAGAAAAAATAATTACTAAATGCAAAGGGATCAGTGCCTCAGAGGAATAAGAATGTATAAATATATGAAAGTCCCAATTCCTTAGCCAATTGGCTGTGGAAATGACTTGATGGAGCCATTTATTATATATTATTGCTGCCACTTCTCCTCACCATATCTTCCCCCCTTATGTAAAATAGTAAGAAAATTTAAGGGAAAAAAAAAACTAAGTAAAGAAGGTGGAAAATCAAACAGAGATTAACTAAGGAAGAATATTCATGGGGAAATTTATTGACACAGCCTAAAGTAGAAACTTGATGATCTACCCAAGAATGTCATGAAGCTGATCAGTGCTCGCTGGAGGGTCAACTGCTTCAGAGATCCACATGACAACAAGGTGGTGAAAAAGGAGAAAATATAAGTTAATTAACAGCTCTGTATATATATTATCTGATTAAGATTTCTCTTAGGGTTGTTTTCTTACTACTTTATGTAAAAGCTTTTAAGCAGAAAAAGAGCAATGCCCAAAAGCTGTCCTAAACAAGGGATGCAGAACGCCGTCCGGAGATCAACCAGAATGTGCCACGTCACCTTGTGCTCGGTAATGCTGATGTGGCGCATTCTGGATGGTCTCCAAATGACGTTCTTCGTTAGGTCTACACACATAATAATTTCTTCCTAAACAAAGCCTACAACTTCATTTAGGATTCATATGTAAATAAAATACTGTTAAGGAGTACTGTGAGGTGTTACAGGGGTAGCTTTCTTATTGCTTTGCCTTTTATATTAGCTTTCAAAAAATAATTTTCCAACAATAATTTTATAACTATCTTTACAAAAAAACTATAACTGTCACAAACATATAACGGAAGTAGATCTTACATGCATAATCTCACAAGTAATTAAGTAAAGCTAAAGCTTTATGAAAGTGGGCGGATTAGTAATTGTGATGATCTCTGTGTGAGTTAATGATATTATAAGCATAATTAAGAAGATGCATGGCAATCAGTGTAAATAATTAAAGAGAGAGTCCACATGCAAATCTTGCATTCCTCAGATGGTAAGCAAAAGGATTAATAGATTTCCATGGCATGATCCACCACCACCACATGGAAGGAGGAGAAAGACGTGCAAAGATGAAAGAAATTGTTAGTTAATTAATTAATTTTAGAGAAGAAAAAGTCTTCTGTGTCATGATGTGAGAGGATTAGGAGGACATAAATTCTGAGATTAGAGGTTTTTTACTGGGGCTAATGAGTTTTTAATGGGGGGATTAATTAAATTAAATGGAGAGAATAAAAAAAAAAAAAACTGTAGTGGATAGACTTTTAGAGTAGAAAAATTGCTTAGTGATGGGAATCTTGTTGGGAAATTGCTAAAGATGTGGACGAGAGAGGGGGTCACATGGAAGTTAGGTGGAGATTTCGTGATCGTGGAGAGGACGTGGAGCCCACGGGCTGCCCGGGAAAAATCATTGCATGGACCTGGTCTTTCTAACTTGGCGCATCTCCGCCGTTAATTACACGTTTGTTTGATGGGGATGCCTCTCCGGGTCGACCCGATGGGCTTCATAACCATAGTTTAGTGATTATCCTATTGATGTACGGCTTTTAACTTGGCGGAATTCTTTCTACGGTTGTAATTAGATGGAAAGAGAAATACACGGACCAGGTTTGGCGATTATTTGATAAGCAGATATAGAGGTGGGCCCGGCTAGGATCAGAAAATATAAATAAATTTTTAACTTGATCCAATTCTTTCTACCATTAAAATTAGCAAAATGGCATGGCTCTATTTAATATATTGAAAATAGCATACTAACGGAATTTGCTGGCGGCCAATGCTTACGTGAACTGCCACGTGGATGGTTTTTTGTGCCGGCCGCTCATCAGCGAAAATCATGTGTTGGTTTGTATGGTTAAATTGGTGGAATTATTTGAAATATAATTAGCAAAATAGCATGGTTCGGAATAATATTTCAAGCACAGCACTGGAATTTGCCAGCATCCAATACTGACATGTGGATGACTTGTTTGAGCCCAATTCTCCTTAGTTATTAATTATTGAAAATAAATTATCATTTATAATGCTCTCACAAGTTAATATTAATAATATATTTTTAAAATATATATTTTTTGTTAATTTAACATTACCATTGTGAATTCATATTTCACATGAGTATCTTTATGTAGCTTTAGGATGTTGATCAAATTAAACACGAATCACGAAGCAAATATTTCAATTAAATTTTTTCATTATCAAATTTCAAATTATAAAAGCTCAATTTTGAACATATTTAAGTTCAAAACTTATCTCAAAAAGATAAATTTGACAAGCTTATGATCATCTAACTTTGATATTATTAAGAGATATATGCCCAAAAAGAAACATACAACCAAGATAAATTACCTCAGGCCATTTGAAGAAATGTTTTAATTTTTTGCCAAAATATCTAGAATGTTTTCCTAAAAAAAGTATTAATATACTATGTTTTAAGATATTTTGAGCTCAACTTGGGACACACCTTATATTTTTCATCATCAACATAAACTATAATACTCATCACGACACCAACAAAATACTCGTCATCGGCCAACAAAGGTTAATGCTTGTCATCAACACAAACTCGAAATCAACCGGAAAATGACCCGGGTCACCCCTAGTCTGCAACAACCAATGTTTGCACCCCACTCCTCAATGAGCTCTTCCACACTCCCGTTCGCACCCGGACTGGCGCCCGCTCTCTCGCCCATACCCTAGCTCACTCCGAAGCCCGTGCCCCCTTCGCTCGTACGCACTCTTGCCCGAACTCAAATTTTGAGTTCAAATTTGAAATTGTTCTCATAACTTGCTTTAAAAAGATCATATCAACTTCAAATTTAAATAGAAATAAATATTTAAATTATATATAATACATAATATAATATGTTTTCATATATTTAATAAAAATAAAAAATTGAGTCAATTTGAAATCTTGTTTGAGGTCAGCATTTAACTTGGTGGGCCAACAAGCATGCCTCTCCGGGCCGGCCCGATGGTCTAATAAGTGCAGGTTAGCAGTCTTAGCGCGAGTTTGGCGACGTTTTATGTTTCGGCGATTATTTAAAGCGACGCCTAA